GGCAGGTTGGGGTGGGGGAGAAAAGGTGTGGCGGAAAACATGCTAGAAGAAGACCCAATACGAGATGGGCCGGCTTTAAAAGGAAGCCACGCCCTTACGGTTTGCAAGATCTGAGCAGGGCTATTTAGGGACAAGATCTTTTGAAGGTCACTAACTCACAAGGCTGCCCATAAGTCAAAAGTGACTTGATGGCACAGAAAAGCAATAGAAAACATAAACGTTGTGCAGCCGCAGCATATTCTGACAATAAGACAAAAGAGACCCAGAGGTTTGCTGGAAGACGAGGGGAGAAGGTGGCCCTACGCGCTCTCATTCATGGGCCCTCTTTATGTATGTATGTATGTATGTATGTATGTATGTATGTATGTATGTATGTATGTATGTATGTACGTACATATTTATGTATTTATGTATTTATGTATTTATGTATTTATTTATTTATTTTAACGTATATGCCGCCCACTCTACGCAATTGAAAAACAATTAAAATACTGTACAATAAAAGATAAAACGATTAAAACACAATTAAAATACAATCTAAAAATTGTCATCAGGATCCACAGTTGATGTTATTTCAATTAAAAGCCTTCTGGAACAGGAAGGTTTTGACCTGGCGCCGAAATGTCATCAGCGTCGGCACCAGACAAATCTCAGTAAGGAGGGCATTCCATAGTCTGGGAGCAGCTGCCGAAAAGGTCCTTTGTCTACAAGCTGTCCCTCTTACCTCCTTAAGGGATGGTTCTTTCAAAAGGGCCCCCTGACTAGATCTTAACTGCCAGGTAGGTTCATATGGAAGGAGGCAGTCCTTCAGGTATCCAGGGACCAAACCGTTTAGGGCTTTATATGTCAAAACAAGCACCTTGAATTGGGCCCGGACAGCAACTGGTAACCAATGTAAATTAAACAGAATCAGCTTAATGTGTTCCCTAGCGGCCCCACCACTCACCAGCTGCGCAGCTCAATTCTGGGCCAGTTGCAGTTGCCAGACTGTCTTCAAAGGCAGCCCCACGTAGAGCGCATTGCAATAATCTATCTGAGATGTTACCAGTGCATGTGTAACTGTCATGAGACTACGCTCGTCCAGGTAGGGCTGTAGCTGGTATAATTTCCGCAGCTGAAGGAAGGTGCCTCTGGCCACCGAGTCCACCTGGGCTTCCAGAGTTAGACTGTGGTCCAGGAGCACCCCCAGGCTGCGGACCCTGTCCCTTAGGGGGAGTGTAACCCCATTCAGGGCAGGGAAATGGCCCTCCAACCTGTCTGGCGAAGCACCCACTAACAGCACTTCCGTCTTGATCCGTTTCATCCAGCAGCGCCTGGAGTTGCCCGGCCACAATCCACTCCAACACTTTGCCCAAATAAGGGAGGTTCGCCAATGGTCGATAGTTAACCACCAGCCTTGGGTCCAGGTTAGGCTTTTTAAGGAGTGGTCGAATTACCGCCTCTTTCAAGGTGGTAGGGATCACTCCCTCTCTCAGAGGTGTTCATAGCCTCCTGGACCCAGGTGCGAACCCCCCTGGCTGATCTTCCAATGAGCCAAGATGGGCAAGGGTCGAGCGGAGTGGTGGTAGAACGGACAGATCCAAGCACCCTGTCCACATCCTCAGGTCTCAACAATTGAAACTTAATATTTGACCTAAGCACGGCACACTGGACACATCCTCTGATTTAGCAGTAATGGTAGAGTCCAATCCACTACGAATCTGAGTGATTTTCCCTTAAAAATGAATGGCATATTCATCACAGCAAGCTGATGAGCAGTCCAAGACCTCCACCGGATTTCCCAGTTGAAGAAGATTCCGGACCCCCAACACAGCTCTGCTGGATGACATTCTGAGGAAGCAATACGGCTGGAGAAACATTGGTGCTGGACCGAGTACCCAGGTGGACACAGCTGAGAGAGGGGAACACCACCCTCCTCTCCCACCCAGGTCTCAGTAATGCATGCCAGGTCAGCACCCTCATCCAGAATTACATCATGGATGAGGGCAGTCTTATTTTGTACTGACCTGGCATTCATCAACAGCACCGTGTGGCTCGAGAGTTTGCTGATATGGTCACCTGATACCATCTGGCTGGGGGTAGGACTAGAAGAGGGGATAGATGTAAGGTATCTAACCTCTCTTCTCCTATGTGGGCATGTTCTACCCCCACCACCATTCCTTCCCCTACCTCATCCCATCAGCCTCCAACAAGCCCAAGAAGCATAAGAAACAAGGGAAGAACCTGCCTCTTTCAAGTCATTTTGGGTCAAGCTATTCGTGTTTCTAGAACCAGAGCGACGAGACAGAGAGAGAGAGAGAGAGAGAGAGAGAGACTTAAAGGTTATGGCTGAATCTCCAGGTAGAGGATTATTGCTTGTGCAACTCGTCGCCCTTTCGCTCTCTCAGGAGTGCCACGGCATGAGCTGCACTCCACAGTTTGCATAGGATTAGGCAGTCCAAATCAAACCAAGAAGTGGTGGCTACCAGAGGCAAAGTGAAGCGTGGGGAAGCCAGTCTTCTTCATTAGCAAACCACTGCGTCTTGCTCAGCCGGCAGAGGGTGGTTCGTTTTGTTCCAATTCAGCTGGCATTGTTTTCTCCTCCACTTTGAAGCTTCCATGATTGCCTATTCTGATGCAAAAGGGTGAACTCGGGACGTGAGGTGCGCGGTTACAGCAGCTCCCCTCAACTGAGCTCCTGTGGTCTCCTCAACTCCAAACAATTTTTCCATTTTTTTAAAAAAAACGTGCTTGCCAAAAGTAGTGCTGAATTAGAGAAACACTGTGTGCAGCCAATGCCAAGGAGAGAGAGAGAGTAAGAGCGACTTAGACTGGAGATTACCACCATCAGATTGAATAGGAAATCGTAGGATTTCACTATGGTAGAAATGAATGCAAAGCTTTGACAATCCAGTGGAGAAACACCCAGCAGATGAAACGTATAAAAAAGACGCAAGTCAAGAAGAGGATGTACCTTCTCACAGAGAGTGACACCTGCTAGGGAGGTGTGTGAAGGACATCACCATTGCCCAAAACAGAACACACCACCAGAGTATCAAGAGACTGTGTGATAGGAAGCCAACTTCCAACATTTACACTGAGATAGTTTATCACACCACTTTTTACTGGTTTTAAAAGCAGTGTGACAAACTACGGCTCACAGTGAGACCTTAAGTCCAAATCAACATATATCATGTGCCTTCCAAAAAGCTCCACCAAACATTTCTCAAGGCTAAAGCACAGTAAAGTTCACTCTCTCTCCTTCTTCAGGAGGTATATTCTAGCTAAATCCTCTGCGGGCATAACACATGGAGTATCAGCTTGCAGAATTCAGGTTGCGGAACATGCTTACGAGCTTCCCTTAAGCACAGCCTAATCCTACAGCCAAGGAAGATTGAAAAATTGGCAACTTCATCTTCACCACAAGGCTCTTCTACAATTAATGCAGCACAAAGATGATTTTCAACCAAATCTGCCATATTTATTTTAATTTTTTGTAATACGCCACCTCCTTTCTTCCTTAGGAAGAGGTGGACTATAAACGCAAGTGAACGAACCACAATATCAAACACGTCCAGCTTCCACCATCGCTACCTCCACAGCCTCCTGCAAGCTGCATCTTTCCACTTGTCGGCACAACGTTGATAATTGTAACCTTTTTAATATAGTCCCATTTAGTGTATCCTGATTTTCTCCCCAATGTTAATTGAGGATGTGGGCCCAAATCGGCTTAATGTAAGGTTTCTTGCTGGCAATTAACGGAAATTATCATTTGTAGACTTAGATAATCACTGGCTGTTATCCTCCTGGCAGTAATTCACATGCTCGTTTGCATAATTACCTCCCATCCCCCCTCAAAACCCACCCCTTATTTGCAGGCAGAAGGCAAAGCGGCTGATGCCAGCTTTTTATCTGCCCAGCAAACGACCTGTCCTGCTGTGAGCCTCACAGATGGGTGTGGAGGTAATTATGTGCCATGGCACCATATTCATGATTTTAGATGGCTCTCATCATCTGGCAACAGCTAAGTCTTTCCCTGGTTCTGATTAACATCTTACCAGCCTTCAAAAGAGGCAGAGTTGGGTGGGTTTTTTTTTTTTACTCGCTTGTTGTTGTTGTCATTGTTACATGCCATCAGGTCACCTTCCACTTATGGTGAATGAGTGACCTATGAATGAGTGACCTCCCAAAGTGTCTGTCTTGTCCTCAATGGCCCCACTCATCTTCTGCAAACTCAAGCCTGTGGCTTTCTTTATGGAGTAAATCCACTTCATATTTGGTCTTCCTCCTTTCCTGTTGCCTTCCACCTTTCCCAGCATTATTGTCTTTTCCAGAGAATCCTGCCTTCTCACGATGTCCCCAAAGTAGGACAGCTTCAGTTTTGTTATTTTTGCCTCTGGAGAGATTTCAGGCTTTATTTGACCTGTTTGTCCTTCTGATGGTCCAGGGTATCTGTAAAGCTCTTCTCCAGTACCATATTTCAAATGAATCGCTTTGTCCTATTGTTCTCGTCACTATCTTCAATTGGGTTGATGATTAAGCCAAGATATTCAAAAGCGTTAACAACTTCAATTTCTTCACTGTCAGCACTAAAGTTTCTTCTTTCACTTTTACGAAAAGTCATTTCAAGTCGCTTACCACTTTCTGCCAGTAAGAGGGTGCCACCTGCATCTCATCCATTACTAAAAAGCACCAGCCTCCATCCACACTTTTGTGGGCCCCCCACTTCTTCCACCTCTCCCTTATAAAGAATTTCAGAAGCAACAGACACCCCCCCCCAAACAAAGTTAGGGCAGGGTAAGCTGCTTTGAACGCAACCTGAGGCTGTTCACCTACACAGCACGTGATGCTATGCCTGGATCATAACCCTGGCTCTGTAACTTTTCTCCTGCTGTTACTCTTTACGCATAGTAGTTAGCAAAGGCATTTAACACAGTTCTCTGGCCCTTTATTTTTGCACTTTATTTTTGTCAAGTCCATTCTTTGGCTTTATGCTTTCTCTCGGTCAAAAGTTATCTTACCGGTTTCATGATCCAGGTGATGCCGGGGTTCTTGCGAAATTCTTCCACAAACAAGTGATACTCGGAAGGCATCTCAAAGGTTTTTGGGAAAAAGTCACACTTCATGGCCTCCAGTTTCCCGGCCTCTCGTTCCAACTGCTTCCGAAACCGCTTCAGGTTCTTCACGATGTAATTCTTCCGAGTCAGCTGCAAACGCACAAAGGAGAATAAGGCTAGCCTCAATACACCCTCAGATCATGCTGCATCAGTGCTCATATAATCCTCTGTCACGCCAGGTGAGATGGTTTGTCTATCTAGCAAATTACTACCTGATATGACCTTGAACAGCCAGGGCTCTCCAGGGTTGCAGACAGAAAGAGAGAGAGCTTTCAGAATCTACTGGTATCTGAAATACCTACCCAGAGATACTAGGAACTGGACACACAACATTTTGCCTGCAAAGGAGCGGTGCTATCATAGCATTATGCTTCTTTTCATCAACTTGCTTCTTACCAGAGGGGGAAAAAAGCACGGTGTGGGGAAACCACTTGACACCAACTTCCAATTTGGGAAGAGTCTCAGGGCCACATTCCAACACCAGGGAGGGTTAAGGCCATGAGGTGGGCTTGGATATAATTCTTCTCAATTCAATAGTTTCCTCCAAGCACCAAAATTACCGCTGATTTCTAAGAATGTCTGCTCATAAGCAAGTGCCAATGCAATCATTTTCCTTCCTGCAAACGACTGCTGAGGCTATTTAAAGTACCTTTTAGAACCCTCTTATCTCCAATTTGCTGATGAGAGACAGCAGTAGCAGAAGCTAGCCTGCTAAGTAGGGATCTCCACAGGCTGCATCCATCCAATGCATACCTTTATTCAGTTGTGAAGACTCTCCATAGCCCATGACCCTAATATGGCTGACGGAAGCTCCCTACCTATTTGCCGGATGGTGAAAAGTTCCAAATCCCAGTTCTTCTAGGTCCGTAGCGGTCTTAGTGAGATTCATACCCTCACTGAACTTTGACAGCCACATCTCTGAAAACTGCTTTCCTTGCCAGATCTTTGAAATCCTAGCTAGAAATCCATTTCTCTGCTCGAGGCATGCTATTTCTTTGCATTAAAAATAAAAAAGCCAAAAAGGTTTGCTAATTGAACTGCCAAGAACACTGACCACTACTGATTCCAGGGGTGGGCAACTTTGGCAAGTATGGGGGGGCAGTTTTCTGACCCTGGGATCTCCCAGGGGGCACCGAGAATGACAAAAATTCAGAGGAAATTATGCCAGAAGTGACTAGAAGTCCACGTCTGGTTTTGAAAAATGGGAATTTTTGGGATGGGCTAACTTGTTACTAATATAAATGGTAAATCATTGCCCTTAGATGCTTCCAAAACCAACAATTCACTTTTGTTTTTGGCTTGGAAAAGTTCTTTTTTAAAAAAAATCTATGGGGGGCACAGGGGTCTAACAGGGTAGGTAAAGGTTCCCCTTGAAAATTTGTCCAGTCATGTCCGACTCTAGGGCACGGTGCTCATCCCCATCTCCAAGCCGTAGAGCCAGCGTTTGTCCGAAGACAGTTTCTGTGGTCATGTGGCCAGCATGACTAGACACGGAACGCCATGACCTTCCCACCATGGTGCTACCTATTTATCGACTCGCATGTACATGCTTTCGAACTGCTAGGTTGGCAGGAGCTGTGACAAGCAGCGGGAGCCCACTCCGTCATGTGAATTCGATCTTACGATTGCTGGTCTTCTCACCCTGCAGCACAGAGGCTTCTGCGGTTTAACCCACAGCGCCACCACGTCACCTCTAATGGGGTAAGGGGGTGCCAAAAACAGCAGTGTGAGTCACATGTGCCCAAGGCCATTTTGCCTGATATATTGAAATCATTTTTCATTCCCTCCTTCAATTCACAAGGTGGTTTATAAACATTAAAATTTCAAAAACAGATCAGAAAGTCTAGATTTAATATATCTGTGAAGATTCTCAGTCATCCAGGGGAGGTTATCTGGAAACTGAGTCATGGCAACTGGACTTCTTTCTTTCCCATTAGGTTGAAAACGTTTCGCTACTCCAGCTTCTTCAGTCTAGATTTAATAGTATTTACTAAAACCAGATGAATAGTCATTGAGCAACTCTCTGCCAAAGCAGAAAACCCACAGCTAGAGCCTCCCAGACAGGTGGCTATCTGACCTCTGCTTTAAAAACCTCCAACACCTCTGAGGTTGTCCATTCCACTGTCAAACATCTTATTGTCAAGAGGTTCTTTGTAATCTTGAATGAAACCTCTTTTCTCACAACATGAATAAAACAAACCAGATATAGCCAGTGGGCAGGGGAAGCTAATTGACCCCATTCTTATCTTTCTGCAGGAGAACTTTCCCTGGAACAAAGGTCAAAATCCTGCTGAGGAAAACCCTGCAGACCTAAAGACAATCATACAAGTGGTCCCCTGCTCTTCCTCTCAATCCACCACACAGCTCGGCATAAGACTGGACGCACCATCGTTTGCTTTATCAGTAGATAAGGGCAAAAGGGATGGATGGCCTGCTACTAAGGCCAGTTCACTCATTTATTTGCCCTTATATCACTGTGTAGGGTGACAGGATTCTGGGCACTGTGCCTTTAATGTGCTTTTAGAAATCATAAATCATAATTAGAGATGGGCAGGTTCGGCAGTTTGTGCTGCTTCGTCCTTTGGACTAACAGGTGTTTGGCACTGCAAAGTCCTGCCTCCTCCAGCAGCTGCCCACTCAGAGGCAGTGCCCAGGTTTCCCTGCCCCGCCTCCTCCGAGCGCTGCCTCTGAGTGGGCAGCCATCAAAGGAGGCGGGGCTGGGAAGCGCTGAACACCGGTTTGGCCAAAGGACGAACTGACATGAACTACCGGGTTGGCGGTCCATGCCCATCTCTAGAACAGACTAAAGACTTTTCCATGCCTACACAAATTTATTCTATGAGAAGTTTGTGACAAAACCCTCTCCAAATCTATCTGGCCACATCAGAAAGGAGCTTATTGGATGAGAGAAGGCAGGAGGTGGAGATCTAGAGAAGAAAAAGAAGGGAAGGCTTAGCTTGTTCTCCCAGGGAGGGAGAGAAGAAAAAAGAGTTGTTTTGTTCCCCAAGAAGGAAGATTAGAATTTAGGGTGGGCTATAGAAAGGGATGTGATGGCGCTGCGGTTTAAACCGCAGAAACCGCTGTGCTGCAAGGTTGGAAGACCAGCCGTCGTGAGATCTAATCCACAGGACGGAGTGAGCTCCCATTGCTTGTCCCAGCTCCTGCCAACCTAGCAGTTCGAAAGAATCTAAAAATGTGACTCAATAAATAGGTACCACCTCAGTGGAAAGGTCACAGCGTTCCATGTCTAGTCGTGCTGCGGTTTAAACCGCAGAAACCGCTATGCTGCAAGGTTGGAAGACCAGCCGTCGTGAGATCTAATCCACAGGACGGAGTGAGCTCCCATTGCTTGTCCCAGCTCCTGCCAACCTAGCAGTTCGAAAGAATCTAAAAATGTGACTCAATAAATAGGTACCACCTCAGTGGAAAGGTCACAGCGTTCCATGTCTAGTCGTGCTGGCCACATGATCACGGAAACTGTCTTCGGACAAACACTGGCTCTACGGCTTGGAGACAGGGATGAGCACCGCACCCTAGAGTTGGACACGACTGGACTAAATGTCAAGGGGAACTTTTGCCTTTCATATAAAGAAAAATATTTTGTATTTGGGAGAGTAAGGTCTGTTGTGGGAAAGCTGACATGTATGATGAATGTAACCTCAAGCTAAAGCCTGTGCAGTTTTAACAGTTGTTAAACTTGAAGAAAGATCTTATTTTTATGTTTAAATTTTAAAACCGCTTTGGGCTCTTATGATTTGGACTTAAGGGAAACCTGGTCAAAGTCAAGGGCAGTTTAAAGGTGATTAACCAGGTTAGGGCTGGTCACAGTGTTTAATACTTAAATAAGTAAAATAAGTTGCACATTATTAAGATGCAGAGTTCACATGAGTACACTGGTGCCTCGCACAACGAGTGCCTCACACAAGCCGACTCAATACATTTCAATGCCTTTGCGAAGTCCTTTTTCGCTCCTGTAAAAGTGTCTTACAATGTTTGGAAGCTGTTTTAAATGATTGCAATGGTTAGTCCACCTCCTTAAACCTATGCAAACTGATTTTGGTGTTGTTCTGACACTTCGTTAATTTATGATGATTTTTTGAATTTTCTCCATTGGAAACCATTGGATGGTCTGTCTAATGGTTTCCAATGGAAAAAACAAAAAATCATCATAAATTAACGAAGTGTCAGAACAACACCAAAATCAGTTTGCATAGGTTTCAGGAGGTGGACTAACCATTGCAATCATTTAAAACAGCTTCCAAACATTGTAAGACACTTTTACAGGAGCGAAAAAGGACTTCGCAAAGGCATTGAAATGTATTGAGTCGGCTTCAATACATTCCAATATAGGAAACATTGTTTCACTCAACGATGTTTCCTATGGGGATTTTCACTGAACGATGGCAATCCGTTCCAATTGGAACGGATTAACCGGTTTTCAATGCATTCCTATGGGAAATGGTGTTTCACAGAACGATGTTTCACACAACGTTGATTTTTTTGGAACCAATTAACATCGTTGTGTGAGGCACCACTGTAATTTTTAATCCACACTAACAACATGCCCTGTCTTCCAGACCCACAAGGGCCAGACACATTTTTTTAAGTAAAAGGAGGAAAGGAAGGATTCCCATGAATGATAATTAGCTTTAAGGAAGAATTTGCACACTGCTCCAAATGTGTTAATTTCATGAGGAACAATATTGGACAAAATCTACATAGACTCTTGTGGCATCTTTTGGGTCTAAACAAGTTTGAGGCAACACAATCCTTCATGGGCTGTAGCCCACTTTGTTGGATACAAACGCTGAGATCCACAAGCATAGGTTAAACCAAATGTTTACAAAGCCCCACCCCAAAAATACTGAACAAGTCAATTTCTTGTATTGCAGTCCCTTATTCTCTCACCTGGTTCCCTGTCTCACCTCATAGTGATTCCGGAAGTGGCTGATACGCACGTGCTCATCCATGTAGGTGTGGTCAAAGTTTTCCTGGAGCCACCGAACATCACACCAGTAAAAGTCCCACTCACCTTCCCTGTGGAGAAAAATCAGGCGGCAACCTGACTGTATGCTAACACAACACCTGAAGTCTTCCCTCCCACTGCCCTTTTAAAATTAAGGTCATGCGATAATCAAAGGAGGTAACTGTCAGGTAACATGGCATTTTTCGCCCATTGTTATGTTTCCAGAGTTAGCAGAACCAGGATTTTTCAGACATGAAAAGCAGGCAGCTTAAAAAAAAAACCTTAAAGGACTTTTTAAACTCCTCAGTAATCTACCTTTTGCAGAATTTCCTATGGAGGAAATGAGACTGACAAATAATTCCGGGAATGCTCCTGGAGTGGGATGGTCTGATTCATATTGTTTCCCACTGACTACATGATGTACAGATCAATGTGAATGCCCATATTTTATTCCTCCACTTCTGCCTTCCTGTTTAGGCAGGGTTTCTAAACCATGTACTGTAATCTTCAAAAGCTCCACTGTGAATGTGAATGTATGTTTAACATCTACATCCACCTACCTGATTTTAAATGAATCTTAGATTTGCTGTTTAACTTGAATTGTACACTGCTCCGAGGACCATTTGTTAGATAGGCAGTTTAAAAGTTGAACAAAAGAACGAACGAACAAACAAATGAATAAATGACATTATTCAGTGACTTTTGAATATATCTGAATCCAAATACACATCCCTAGTTAAAACAGGCCAGCAAAATAGCCTAGCAAGCTTTGGAGCAGCACAGAACTCTTCTGTGGCAGGAAAACTGAAGACATTTTCAATGCAACTTAGAAATTTGATATCACATCAGCACAATAAAAACATCACCCAGCCTACTATAGACCCTACTTGAATCTTTACATACCGTAGATTCTACATTTCCAGTGTTTAATTTTGGAAAGCACTCTCCCGTTAATTATACTTAATTTCCTTTCCTTTTCTTTTTTTAATCATCTAGCCTGATAAAAAGTTCTGAAGAACTCAAAGGCTTGTACATTTTGTGAATTTATACTTGATCCTAATGAAAATATTGCCCATCTGTGGCTGCTGTTTTATCCCCACCCCAGCTTCTCCACTTTTGCTTTGAACAGAAACTCTTCTCCTCTTTTTAGATGTTAGAAGGCAAGCAGCTCGGCCAATGTCATTTCCGTCCTCTTCAAGGGGCTGCAGTGTGGCTGTACATTATTTAATGGCTCTTTGAAGAGGGCTCTTAAAGGACTTCACGCTGGCAGTAGGAATTTGCGTTAGCAAAAGCCTGCCAACTCCCATCTCAGTCCCAGAGACAGGGGATCAACCGCACAGCACCAGAATTTGTCAAGAATGCATGAAAGGGATGGAGGATGGCACCTGGAGGCCTCAAATGAGTCCCATCTCAGTGGCCTGGAGAAAAGGCAATGGTCGCCTGCAACCACGGGGCCTCCATCTTGGACAGGAAGGAAGAAACGTTGACCCAAACCTATGAACCGGAACCCCAGAAGTGTAGAGCTCCAGCATAATCTAGAGATTCACTGATATCTAAGTGGCACGGGATAGGGGTGAGAGTTTCACTGTGGGCCACTTTTTTTTGCATTCAGAATTACCATGGCCCAGAGCTGCTTCACCGTGCGCATGCAGGTGAAAGAACATGGGGTGCCCACATTTATTTGCAATAGTTTGAGGGGGGAGGGCAATGCATTGGCTTGTGCATGAAGCGGAGAAGAAGGGGAAGAGATAGTAACAGCAAATAATCACCATCACAAAATCAGTGTAGGGAAAGGTGCAGAAAAAGTGCTAGATTATCCCGTTTCACATGCCTTTACACCCTTTGCCTGATTTTTTTAAAGGAAGAATCATCAGTCTCCCTGCCTCACATGTGGGTTGTATCCTAAATTCATTTGTCATTAGATCGCATGGGAGAGAGACAGGGGAGTAAAGTCATTGTTCCAACACTCCTTTCTGGAAATGTGAGTTTCCAATTAAGAACGTCTCTTTCAGTCGTCCATTTGCCTGTAACTCAGGAGGGGAAGCATCTGGCTAGGGGCGGATGGGATGACCCCCCATCTGACTAAATTCCAGGCACTCCTCATCTTAGAAACCGGATGCCCTGGGCTTAACAGGGTTCTGAAAAGCATGTGGAGGAGATGGGGTGGAGAGGGCGGGGATGACTTCTAGAGAGGGGTTCCAGAAGAGAATAAATAGCAACAGGACTGAGAGGCGGTCCAGAAGAGAATAAATAGCAACAGGACTGCTGGGGAGGGAGCAAAGGGGGAAGAGCGTTGGAGGAAAGGATAGCTATAAAATGGTATTTAGAGAGGTCCCAGAGCTGTGAGCTTAAAGGATATGGTGTACCTGAGGGATCCTACGCTCCCCCCCCCAAAAAAAAGAGGGGGTTTCAGGGAAAGATGCCAAGGCTAAGGAGGCTTGCAAGGGAAGGGGAGGAAATGGCCCACTGGCTGTGGGTGAAAGGAAAGCCCTGCCTCCCCACCCTAACCCCTTTTTTCCTAATTCTTCTTCTTTTTTGCAATGGCTCTTTTGGATCTTGCTGAGAGAAAAACCGAAAGGCACCAGCCCTTCAGGATCCCCTTCGGCAAGGACGGGATGAAGTCTAGAGGTCTGGAAGTCATGCAAGCCCACCGCTGGGGCTATGTGTGTGCGCGCGGGGGGGGGGATCTATTCCTCCCATTCCGCCCAAATATTCTTCTTAAATGTTTGTTTCCTTCAAAAAGTTCCCTCCTGCCCTCTAGCGGCTTCAGGGAGCAAATTCACTCCTCCTTCTCCCCCAAAGTGCAATCAGAGGGTTGCAAAAGAACTCACCCCATGCCGCCAGAAAGAGTTACTTTAACGGGAACGATCTCCCTGGAAAGGACCCTTCCGTTTGCCGGGGACTCTGCTCCAGCTGGGCTCCAAAAAGCAGAAGCCCTACAGCTGAACTGAAAAAGGTCCAGCTTGGGCCCGGATTGGACCCAGGTTGGAGTGCCTTTTCCCCTTTTGGCATACGATCGCTGGGAAACAAATCTCACTGGACTGCTCCACAAATGGCAATATCTTTCCTTGTTTGTTTGTTTGTTTGCTTGTTTGTTGCTACCTCACCTTTTTCCTTAAAAAGAACCCAAAAGCAGCTTACATCGGTATAAGACAATATTTAAAAGCTAGAAGCAGCAAGGATACAAGTACAGTGGTGCCTCGCTTAACGAGCGCGCCATTTAACGATGAATCCACATAGCGATCTATTTTTTAAGATCGCTAATGCGATCGCATTGCGATGTTCTGAATAGGCATAACATTGCATTGCGATGATCGGTAAGCGTTTCGCTTACCGATCTTCGCATTGCGATGTTTTTTAAAACAGCTGATCGGCGGTTCCAAAATGGCCACCGGGTGCCCAAAATGGCCACCGCAAGTGTTTTCGTGCCCTGCCCTAGCTTACCGAGGGCGCGAAAATGGAGGTGCTATGGAGGAACTTCGCTGAACGGTGAGTTTGGGAGCCATAGGAACACATTAAACGAAGTTTAATGTGTTCCTATGGCTTTTTCCGTTCCGTTTAGCGATGTTTCTGCATAGCGACGATTAATCCAGAACGGATTAATGTCGCTATGCGGGGCACCACTGTATTACAAAAGAATCAAACCAATGTCACACTAAAACAATAAACAAAATCAACACCCCAAACACGTACATAGCAACAAGGCACAACAATCCTTTAAAAACCCCTCCCAGGTAGCCTATCACTTAGGGAAAGCCTGCCTGAAGAAGGGCTTGCAGAAGGACAGCCAAGATGGGGCCAGGCTGGCCCCCCAGTGGGAGGGAGTTCCAAAGGCTGGGATTTGGCGAGGGGGAGGGGGGAGCCTGCCTCACCCCCAAACTATGGAGGAAGGATCCAAAACATGGCAAAAACTGTCCCCTAGCCACCCTAGAAGCACAAGGGGATTTTCTGACTGAAACAAATGGCTCTGAATTTCTAGAATGACTGATGTGTGTGTGTGTGTGTGTGTGTGTGTGTGTGTGTGTGTGTGTGTGTGTGTGTGTGTGTGTGTGTTGGGGCATATTCGCTTGCATGCCAGACTTGGTCCATCCCTGCTCTATTGCCATTGTGAACAGGATTCGCCATGCCCCTCAGACTCTGGTCTGCACCTCTCAGGCAGACCCCACCGTCTCTGGGCCCACCAGCCACCCTAAGCTTGCACACCATGACCATTGCAAGCAAGGATGGTCACTTCACCTGTAGTAACAAGCAAACAAAAAGCCCCCTCTCTCCCAAAAAACTGTTGCTTCCCTAGGAATTGCCATTCGCCTATTCAACAGGTCACCATTTCTCCCTACCATTAAACATTTCCAAATACCCTTTTTCCCCCAAAACTGGAACTGGACTTTCATCCACTTCTGGGTTCATTGTTGTATCTTCCTGCATTCTGCATGGTTGATGTTAATTGCTCCCTAGGACCACCGAAGTGGCCTGTCTCTACTCTACCCTATGGCTGAGCTACCTCTGCCTTCCAGTAGTTCCTCAACTCACGTGCAATCCATCCATCCATCTTCCTTCCTTCCTCCCTCTCTCCCTCCCTCTACATCTTCCTTCCTTCCTTCTGTTCATCATCAGCTCCTTCCTTCCTTCTTCCTTGTTTTCCCCTGTCTATCTTGATTCCTTCCTTCCTTCTATCCACCATCAGCTTGCTCCTTCCTTCCTTCCAAATATTATGTACCCCATATTTCTCCTTAAAAGGACCCAAGGTGGCTTACATGATTAAAAGACAGCATTTAAAGCGAACAACAGTGAGTATACAAATATAGTGGGGTTTCGACTTATGAACTTAATCCGTATTGGAAGGCAGTTCTCAGGTCGAAAAGTTCTTAAGTCGAATCTGCATTTCCCATAGGAATGCATTGAAAACCATTTAATCCATATCTGCTCTTTTCGTCCATAGAAACTAATGGGAAGCTGCTATTCCGCCTTCTGCCACTAGAGGGGGATATTTTTTCTTTTTTCCTTCTAACCTAAGATGACTTAGCTTTTAAAAAAAGGAAAAAAAGAGTTCGTAACTCGAATCTAAGTCCGTAAGTCGAGTCCATATATTCCTATGAGAGCGGTTCGTAAGTCGAAACGTTTGTATGTCGAGCCATTCGTAAGTCGAGACCCCACTGTACTAAAAAGGTCAAACAAATACCACACAAAAAACATAAACAACACCAAAACACATTCAAAGGAGTAAGGTCCAACATATCATTAAAAAAACCCATTCAGGCAGCCAGTCTCTCCTCCAAGGACAGGGGCCACCCCATAGAACAGTGCCTCCAACTCCCATCTCAGACGGATGGGCTTTTACTACTGACTATTGACTATGCCAGATCTGTGGAGGGGGGCGCTAAGGGAACCTGCTGTCCCTGCTGTCAACAAAGGCCTGGAGGGGCCACATGTGTATTTCTGCCATGACACACGTTAAAACAGGAATGGTTAGTCCTGACACCCCCACCCCCAAAATTTGTCACAACTGTATTAAGAAGACATGTCTTACTCTTTCACTTCGACCCATCCCGGCCGTTGTCGAAGGACATCTAAAATTGTGTTTGTGAGGGCACACTTAAATCGGATGCAAGCACGGGGTTCTCTGCAAAAAAAGGGGGGAAATTAGTCCAAATGTATCCAGGGTGGTGAATCTCCAAGGGAAACAGTCCATTCATTTGTTTTTCCAATAACCTTGCAAATCAGAACATTTACAGTATTCTCCTCCAAGAAGGCAAGAACAGTTCCCCCAAGTCCCATCTCAGAGAGATGGGCTCTTACTATTGACTATGCCAGATTTTTTTGGGGGGGGGGGGGCTAAGGGAACCTGCTGTCCCTGCCGTCAACAAAGGCCTGGAGGGGCCACATGTGTATTTCTGCCATGACACACATTAAAACACTTCCAACTCCGTTATTCTATGAAGGTTCGTAGCTCCTTAAAAACAACCAAGAGTGCTTCCAATGTGACACACATGATGGACATTGCATTGTGCCATTCGCATGTGCCAGTCCTGTCCATTATTGCCTAGCTGCATTATCTGGATGGGGGTTCCTCTCCCCCCCGGGGTTCTCTGCAAAAAAAGGGGGGAAATTAGTCCAAATGTATCCAGGGTGGTGAATCTCCAAGGGAAACAGTCCATTCATTTGTTTTTCCAATAACCTTGCAAATCAGAACATTTACAGTATTTTATCTTTACAAGTTCTAGATCTTCCCTTTCTGCCAGACAGCTAGCCTTCCAGGTGTTTGATAATGAGAGAAAAATAAAAATAATGAAGAAACTCTGAAAGGATGATGATGGGGAATGATGAAGTATCTGCAGAAATGAAGATGTAAGATGGCTCTGGCCCTCAAAGACTCCTGCTGATCCTGTGGCTGTTCTCAGTCCTGCCCTTCAGGGTTCTTCACCCGCCATCAAGTCAATTCTGATTTATAGCAACCGAGTTCAGGGTTTTCCAGGTAGAGAGCAATCAGGAGGGGTTTGGCATTCCCAACTTCTGGGGGTAGCCCTGGACTGTGTGCAGCTTGCCCACCTAGGCTGGCTCTTTTCCCAGGACGCGCAGTACGGAATCAAACTCCCAACCTCTGGCTCTGCAACCAGATACCTAAACCACTGAGCTCTTTGGAAAGAGAAATGTGGGCAGCATCTCCAATATAAACCTAGAGCCGTTTAAATGTTGCAGATTCTCCCAAAGCATTCGGAGACTCTTATGAAAGCCTGGTAAGCTTCTCTATCACATGCTCGGTCATGTTTCTGACCACATAAGTGAGATGCACCCAAGCATCTCATCTGTGAGGTGTAATTATCCTCATCAGTTCCATGAATGCCAGAAAGATACAATATTTTTGAACCCAGGCTTTCCAAACTTCACATCCTTCCTTCACAGGAACGGAATGGCTGGCTTCTGTTGCTCAGTGTAAGAAAATCAGCAGTTATGCCAGGAAACAAGAATCCCCCGCCACAGTTCTTGGGAGGCTCATGCGCACGCTGGCTTGGTGCATTCTTGCGCACCTCCCAAAATGGCAGTGGAGACTTTTTTATTTCCCTACAACAACCAGAGGACTGAGTTACAGATTACTTTATGCTAAATGATAGGATTTCAATGGTTGAATGTCGCAACCCTCCCTTGACCAGGAATTATCAGTGTACAGATTAGGGTCGGAATGAGGTGGAAATGCGCTATTTGCCCCAAAAGGTCTGTGTGATCTAGGGCAGCCATTCTCAATGGGGGCCATACGGCCCCTAGGGGCCACTGGCACAAATGAAAGGGATCACAGATTCATCTGTGTTGTTTCCTTGAAAGCCAATGACTTTCCTTGTGGCCCCTGGAACGCGAGAAGACCTCATAAAAGGGCTGTGGCAAAAAAAAGGGTTGAAAATGGCTGAGAGTACAACCAAGACACAAAGCACACAGACTTCCCTGTGTGTGAGAGAGGGCCAACACATGTTTCCCACCACCTGCTGATCACAGCCAGCTTCTGAAGTGCTTCCCAGTTTCAACAGAGATGTGGCTTGAACCATCGAAGAGGAGATAAAATCTCCAAAATTCCCATGGACACATGGAAGTAACGGTGTTATTCACTGGCTCTAGGCACATTCTTCTTATGACAAGGAAACTCTTTTAACTTGCTCGACCATAGCTTCCTTCTGAACATGAAACATCTTTCTTTCATAATCACTTTCGAAATGCTGGGCGCTGACTGATAAGAGGAAGAGATGCAGTGGTCACAATTCTTTTTATATACTGCCATACAGACAAAGCTACCCAGATTTGACAGCATGAACTGTTATTCTGCCTGGCAGGTCTAGGTCACTTTTGGGGAAATCCACTGGCTACCTGGTCAAACAGGAATTTGAGCTCAGTCTCACATGGATTCTCCTGAAGGAGCCGTTCCTGGACTTGGGACTGTAATTATGTCCTTTCACTTTTCTCCTCCTTTGTTCCACTTGCTGTGTTCCGCCTTCAGCCTGTTTACCTAGTGTTTTATGTTTCTTTATTATCACAAACGGAAACAAAGGAGAAACCACAAGCAGAACGGAAAAGCAAAACCGAGGCAAATCCTGAAGTTGGGAGAGGGTCAAACACACAACGTACACTGCAGCACACCATATCATGTGCTCAAGGCTCTTCAAGTCTTCCACAGAAGCAAGAAAGCTTCATCTTAACTCACGTCCTTCCTGTGTTGTAGCAGAGTTCACTTAACAGTGTGTTGCAGCAGGATAAGCGCCTTATCCACACAGTCCTGGAATAATCTCCAACCTGAAATCCACTGGGAATTTTTAAAAGGATCACTGAAAACACGACTTTTCAGACAGGCCTTCTCGGACCTTATAACACCGTAACACAGTGGTTGTTTCAGCATTTATATTATCAGTTCCACCACCTTGCCTTTAAATGACTTTAAATTATTTTTGGTTAATTTTAAGTTGTTCTGTGTATGTTTAATTTTAATTTTCTTTACAGCTGTTATGCTTACTGTTTTTAACTTGCTGTTTATTATGTTATAATGTTGTAAACGGTCCAGAGTGCCCTTGGCAGCCGGATGGGTGGTATAAAAGTCAAATAAATACATAACAAATCATTTATTTGTTTATTAATTTTGGCTCCAGGCCAGGGACCAACCCTGGGATTGGGCCGCCCTCACCCATCAGCATCTCCAGGTGACTGCCCTGTTCCTAACACAATATAGCATCTCTTTAGCACCAAGAGTGTACGTTTGGGGGAGTTTAGCAGGGAGCAACAACTGCTGTAATCTACAAAGGACAAAATGGATGGATGACACAACTGGCTTAAAGTAGTGTAAGGCTAATACCCAAATAAGTAGCAGCCACATCAGTCAATTGCAGAAGAAGAAAAGAGTCCTCTAGTGCTTTAAAGGTGAACTAACCTTATTTATTTATTTATTAGATTTCTATCCCGCCCATCTAGACCAAGGGTCTACTTTAAAAACCTCAGGTGTTTAAAGCTGCTACAAGCCTCTGCATTGTTTGAGCAAGCTTAAGGCAGGGATAGGCAATTTCCAGAGTACAGGAACCCACATGTACTCATCCTGGACCTTGGAGGGCTACACCCATTGAACCGCACCCCTGCTCAAAACTAGTTATTATTTTTTTAAAAAATATAGCATCCTGCTTGCATTTTCTAGTAGCAAATTTTTTAAAAAAATTGGGGGGGGGTGCTAGGATGTTGAAGTATCTGTAATATGGCACCATTTTCCCCAGTATCTCCTAGATGGCACAAAGGTACTTTGAAAGCCCAAGAAGAAAGTGTTGTTGTGGGTTGTAATTAGGCCCCCAAAGGTCTGTAGGTGGCCCATAGCCCCCTGCCTCTGGATTGGGTTCATTAAGGCACAGTTGGAAAGAAGATAGAGATGCCCAGAAGACTCTCAGTAAGCGATAACCTCTCACTATGAGTGTCAGGGATACAGAAAGTGTTAGAAGAGGTGGCTGTGTTAATCTGGGGCTAGTATAACAAGCAAAAAACAAAAGAAATATTAAAAAATTAAGAAGACAAAAATGTTGTGGCACCTTAAAGACTCGTGGCTGTATTTTAATGTGAGCCTTTGTGGATCAAAAGCTACTTCCTCAGACATCTCTGAGAGATGGGAAGTTCCCTTTTTTTTTAAATGACCACTGAACTATTCTGGGAGATGAGACCAAAATACACCCCTCCCGTCTCTCTGTTGAATGTCTTCTTTGCTTTTTCACTAGTTCCCTGTCAGGAAAGTACCACAGGCCATGAAAGAACAGGAGTGGATGGTTTTTGCAGACTGGGGTGCAAAGCACTCTTGTGGGAAGCTCTGGCTATGCTGGTAGTTAAGTTAATGTGCAGATGATAGTGGACAAGACAGACCAATGCTCTGGCTGGGGATGAGACAGTTGCCTCTGCTTCACTCATCACCAAATGTCACCTTTCCCCAGTATTTGCATGGTCAATTCGATAACTAATGCAGCTCTTGATAGTTCCTCCCGAGGTTCGTACCTTGCTGTGCATCTCCTTACCGTTTGATAGCTACAGGACAATCTTCACTTCTTCTGCATGAAGTTCATACAGATTTCTGCTTCTGCCTGGAAAACTGCTCCCCACCCTCTACAAACGTAGACATTCTTTGTAAATGGCTCATAAAAGTACATACCTCCTTATCTCTCTCTCTTCATACAGGAAATAGGAGGAATCTTAAATTATTTGATGGGGAAGGGGTACAGACAACACTCACCGTTCTTTCAGTTTCGGGTAACCATAGGGCCCTTTGTAGTTCACGTTCTGCAAGGAGATAATTGGAGAAGCAGATGAAACAGGAAGTTTAAATTAAAAACACACCCCAAAACTACCTCTTCCTCTATAGTGGCTGAAAAAAGACCCAGACACCCTGAATAGCAATGTGAAAAACAAAGCATGAGAAATATGTTTTCTATATGGGACTGGTAACAAAAAAAATGCATTGGCAGCTGCTAAAAAAATGGAGTACGATACCCAGAAATGTGAAACGTTCCATTTATTTCTGATTCCTTCAGTCACTTACTCTATAAAATAAAGCACAGATTGTAAATGTTTTATTACAAATGATGGCATAACAGCATCTCTTTTGTGATATGAGGGTATAACAATATTTCTTTTGCAACTTATGAATCGCTTCCAAAACTAAGGTTTTGGAAGGTCATTTGCAAGAATTTTTGGTCATTTTTCTACTTTGTATTAAAATACATACAATCCATTTAAAAGTAAAGTGTTAGTAATGTGTAACTCTTAAAGTAACATGCAAGTCGCATTTTTCTTTTTAAAAAACAATCCTCATATTTTTCTCTATTTAGCTTTAACTGGTAAATGTATCAACCGGTTGAAAGTTAGACCGTTAATTGGCTGAAAATTTCTGTACTCTGATGGCAGGACAATTTTTCATTCAACTATCTATGTAAATAAAATATATATAAAGAAAAAAAAGGAACCCCCATCATCTTATCAGCTTGCATCCTGCCCTTCACACACAGACACAAATTTGCTCACCACTGTATTTCATCTTTAAGACATGAGATATTACACAAGACTAAATATTTTCATTGCAGGAACTGCTGGGGGGGGGCATCAGTGCTTGGTCCTTCCGCTTGACCGCAGTTCTGCACAGTAAGAACAGAGAGTATTTCCCTTGTCCCTACACACTACCTCAGGCTACTGAAATTCTACTGTTGAGCCAAATGTGTTTGGTAGCAAAATATTATACAGGCCAAGGGTGGGCAACAACCGGTGTTTGAGAGTCACATACACCTACAACCAGGGCCATGCAGAGCCACCTCTGTGTCCAAAACACCTCCAAAGTACAGTATTTTAATGCTTTTTTTAACTGGAAAAAATTCTCACTCATGCCTTCTATTGCAGGGGAGTTTGAGGGGGCCTTCTGTACACTGAGGTCAAGAGACATGGCCAGGGAAAGGCATTCCCAGGGACCTGAAACACTTGTGTAATGTTCCTTTTCCTGCTTGACATTGCAGGAGATCACATCTGCCACAAGCATGAGATGGCTGCTCGAAGAGAACAGTTTGAGGCCTCCTGCTCTATACTTCGTCTCATCAATGAAAATGAAGCATTTCTTGACAGGATAGAGAAGACTCTCCTGGACATGCCAAAGAGCACGTGAGGAGGGCTTGTGACTAGAGAAGAAGGGCCATCAGGAATCATGCTGTGTCTTCAGAACTGCAATTGCAACGGATGGTTGTGCCTTACTGCTTTGAATGTTGTTGGTTTTTTTGGTGTTCCTTTTGTTTACTGTCTTTTAGTGTGGTGTTTCTCCCTCTTTAGTATTTGTATACTTAATTGTTTTTAGCTTTAAATATGGCCTTTCAATGACATAAGACGCCTTGGGTTCTCTTTAAGGAGAAAAGCAGGATAAAAATACTTTAAAATAAACATCAGTCCCTCCCCATGGACAGCAATTCTGAACTGCTGGATCCAGGTCAGCAAAGAGCTGGGAAGTGGCCACAGAGGGTCCTCGAAGATGGAAGGATTTGAGCCAGGATTTATACCCAAGAGGAGGAGGAAGACTTCCCGCTGAAGGGGATGCAGGACCTGATGCAGAGCACCTCGTGAAGTTGGCATATTTCTGTATGCTACCTCCAGCAATGATATACGGCCTCCCTGCAACAAAGATCCAGGACATGACTTGCCAAGAATCATCAAAGTTGTTGATCATCATCCCTTCCTCCTGATCTGTGTGGGAACCAACAATTCTGCCAGACCTATCTTTCAGTGCATTTCAGTCCCCTGGACTGCAAAGAGAACAAACCTATCCATTTTGAAAGAAATCAACCCTGAGTGCTCACTGGAAGGACAGATCCTGAGGCTGAGGCTCCAATACTTTGGCCATCTCATGAGAAGAGAAGACTCCCTGGAAAAGACCCTGATTTTAGGAAACTGTGAAGGCAAGAGGAGAAGGGGACGACAGAGGATGAGATAGATGGACAGTGTCATCGAAGCAACCAACATGACTTTAACCCAACTCCGGGAAGCAGTGGAAGAACAGGAGGGCCTGGCGTGCTGTGGTCCATGGGGTCACGAAGAGTCGGACATGACTGAACGACTAAACAACAACAAAGGGATGGGAAAGACCTTGAGGTAGAAGTGTGTGGTTCTTTTTTTCCCATTACTCTTTCCTGTCCTGTATCTTGGTCTGGAAGAGAGATGTGAATACGAGAAACCAAGAAGCATTTGTGCAGGTGCTGTTCCTCAGGCTTTGGCTTCTTAGACCACGATCAGTGCTGAGATGATGAAGGACTCCTGGCAAGCAACAGGCTGCACCTCAATGTGGGGAAGCAGGAAGAACTTACTTGCTAAAAGGTCTTGCTAAGCCGATCAAGAGGGCTTTAAACGGACCTCTGCCAAGGAGGGGGATGATATTCCAGAGAAAAAGGAGGCACGTCTAGCCTAGAGAAAAGTTCAGACGGGACATGATAGTGTTTTTCAAATATTTGAAGAGTGGTCGGTCACCTGGAAGAGGGAGCAAGCTGGCCTTCTCCAGATCCAGAGGGGAGGACCCTGGATGGATCCAAACGGCAAGGAAGGGCATTTCGACTCAGCCTGAGGCAGAGTTTCTTTACAGGAGAAACTGGAGCTGGTCATCCGCAGGACAAATGGCCCGAGCGATGGTGGACACCTGCTTCTTCATGGGACATTTTTTCCAGCAGAGGCTGGATGACCACCGACCGGTCAGGGACACTTTAATGGGGCGGCGGGGGGGGGAAGGGTCCTGCTCCTTGCAGGGGGGGCCAGGCTCGATGACCTTTTGGGGTCCCTTGCAGTCCCATCATCACAGTTATGGGATTCTAGAGAGGCTAACAACAAGGGGGGGCTTGGGGCACCAGGGATGCCACTAGGTG